TTATTTAGGAGGCTGAAGCATGAGAATTGCTTGAACCCAGGAGGTGGAGATTGCAGTGAGTGGAGACCACCACTGCACTCCAGCCTGGTCGACAGAGCAAAACTCAGTCTCAAATCTCAAAAAAAAAATAAAAAATAAAAAAATAAAGGGAAAACCAGTAATTAAAATGTTCTTTTTTTTTTCTTTTTTTGAAACAGTCTCACTCTGTCACCCAGGCTGGAGTGCAGTGGTGTGGCCTTGGCTCACTGCGACCTCTTTCTCCTGGGTTCAAGCAATTCTCCTGCCTCAGCCTCCCAGTTAGCTGGGATTGCAGGCACGAGCCACCACATCTGGCTAATTTCTGTATTTTCAGTAGAGACGGGCTTTCACCATGATGGCCAGGCTGGTCTCAAACTCCTGACCTCAAGTGATCTGACCACCTTGGCTTCCCGAAGTGCTTGGATTACAGATGTGAGCTATGCATCCAGCCATTCCCGCCCCCGCCCCCAGTAGAAACAAGGTCTTGCTGTGTTGCCCAGACTGGTCTCAAACACCTGGGCTCCAGTGATCCTCCACCTCAGCCTCCCAAAGTGTTGGGATTATAGGAATGGGCCTGTTCTTAATTCAATAATTTATTGTTGGCTGGGTGCAGTGGCTCACACCTATAATCCCAGGACTTTGATAGGATCGCTTGAGCCCAGGTGTTCGAGGCTGCAGTGAGCCATGATTACTCCACTATACTCCAACCTGAGCACCAGAGCAAGGCCCTGCCTCAATTAACAAATAAATAAAACAAAGGAGTAAAGTATCCAGGAAACAGATTCAACATGGAGACAGGTATATGATGTTCGTTGTGGGCTTGCAATATAAAAAAAATAAAATTAAAAGATTTAAAAAAAAACCATGGAGACAGGTAAAGGGAATTTTGAGGATGCAGAGAAGTCCTACAATGAGAGCTGTCCACAGGCTGAGACATTGAGTGGCACAGACCAGAACAAAAGAATGGAAGGCTCGGCCAGACGCAGTGGCTCATGCCTCTAATCCCAGCACTTTGAGAGGCCAAGGCAGACAATCACCTGAAGTCGGGAGTTCAAAATCAGCCTGGCTAACATGGTGAAACCCTGTCTCTACTAAAAATACAAAATCAGCTGGACGTGGTGGTGGGTGCCTGTAATATCAGCTACTTGGGAGGTTGAGGCAGGACAATCACTTGAACCCAGGAGGCAGAGGCTGCAGTGAGCCGGGATAGTGACACTGCACTCCAGCCTGGGTGACAGAGTAAGACTCCATCTAAAAAAAAAAAAGAATGGAAGTCTCCAGGAAAAATGGAACTGATTGATTATCTAATAGCTTTGACTGAGTGAACAAGGAGTGTATTGAGAAACTATTAGATTACATGGGAGGAATTAATGGGAAGTATAATATATTAAAACATGAAAAAACAAGGCAATGATTAAAGTCAGAGGAAATGAAAAGGTTGTAGAGGAAACAATCATAAAACACACATGACAGCGAAAACATTTGCTCAGTCAAAATAAGGTCAATACAAAGTACTGTATTTTCTTAGCCAAAAAGCATGCTTTCACTATTTTTTTTTGGCAGTTTTTATACTTTTATTGAAACACAAAACATGCACATGAGCTGTCTACTCATTTTTTTCACTGCGCAGCCTGGCATTGGGGTTGGTAAATCTGATGGCCAGCTGGGCAGCTCTTTCCATGATGGCTTTGAGGTTCTTAGAGGAAACATCGTGAGTGATCTCAGCATAGGAAGATTTTGTGCAGATCAGCAGCACTTCCAGCTCCTTGACGTTGCGGCCCAGGAACTTCCGGAAGCCACTGGGCAGCACATGCTTTGTTTTATCATTGCTCTCATAACCAGTGTTGGGCATCAAGATCTGGCCCCTGAACCTTCTACGAACCCTGTAGTCAGCACCTCTGGGTTTCCGCCAGTTCTGCTTAATTTTGAAATATCAGTGAGACTGGTGCCAGATGAACTTCTTGGTTCTCTTTTTGACAATCTTGGGCCTCACAGGGAGGCTGAGGGTGGCCATGATGCTTGTAAAATGGAGATGACACTGCTCGCTGAATGCCAGTAGTGGTGCGGAGGAGATGGCTGCCACCTCCGTAGGCAGTGCCAAGGAAGAGAGAGGGGCCTTTCGCTATTCTGAGAGGGAAGGGACAGGTGGAAGAGAGACAGATAATCATCAATCAAATTTGGAAATCAATAAGGAATGTCTAGAATGCATAAATGAAGAAGAAGTATGAGTACTGAGAGTGAGAGGGAAATGGGACAAAGAACTGCTGGATTTTTGTTTTTTCTCACCACTATACCAATGAGGAGGATTGCTGTTTTGTTAAAAAGCTTTTTAAATACGATTTGACTTTGCAAACATATTCCTTTGATAAAAAATGTAAAGAAGGTGGAGGAAAGTGTATAAAGTGACAACATATAAGGTGTGTGCAGGAGCTACCAAGTGGGTTAATTTGCCTGGAGTCAAAAATTTGGCCAGGAGCCCAGTGTGGTGACACGTGCCCATAGTCCCAGCTACTCGGTAGGCTGAGGCTGGAGGATCGCTTGAGTCCAGGAGTTCTGGGCTGTGGTGTGCTATGCCTATCGGGTGTCCGCACTAAGTTCAGCATCAATATGGTGACCTCCCGGGAGCAGGGGACCACCAGGTTGCCTAAGGAGGAGTGAACCGGCCCAGGTCAGAAACGGAGCAGGTCAAAACTCCCGTGCTGATCAGTAGTGGGATCGTGCCTGTGAATAGCCGCTGCACTCCAGCCTGAGCAATATAGCAAGACCTCGTCTCTTAAAAAAAAAAAAAAAATTGCCAGGACATGAGACAAAAGTCTATAAAAGAAAAGTAGGCAGAGGTTAGATTACAGAGGACCTTGATATGTTAAGGATATTTGGGGGCTTTGGAGAATGTGCAAAGGTTTCTGAGTAGAAGAGGTATCTGAAAGAGCTTCTTATTCTAGTGCTAATTTGGCAACAGTGTACAAAATGGAGTAGAAGGAGCCTGTACTTAAGACCGTAGCATGCAAGGTCCTATGAAATTTGGCCGGTCTATGTTTCCAGCCTCATTGAGGACTGTCCCTTTAGTCACGATGGCCTTCTCTTTCCTCAAATGTGACACATTTATTCCTGTGTTGAGCCCGTATATTCCCTGCACCTCTGCCTAGAATGCTCTCACCCCAGATCTCATAGCCACTTTCTACGCTCTATTTCTAGGTCTTCTCTTCTGGAAGGGTACTTCTCTAACTCCCAGAAACTTCTTTCCCCGGTCACTATCTTTTTTGTTTTGTTGTTGTTTTTTGAGGCAGTCTCACTCTGTCGCCCAGGCTGCAGTGCAGTGGTGTGATCTCACTGCAACCTCCACCTCCCGGGTTCAAGCAATTCTCCTGCTCAGCCTCCTGAGTAGCTGGGATTACAGGCCCCCACCACCACACTTGGCTAATTTTTCTTTCTTTTTTTCTCTTTGAGACGCAGTCTTGCTCTGTTGCTCAGGGTGGAGTGCAGTGGCACAATCTCGGCTCACTACAACCTCCACCTCCCAGGTTCAAGCGATTCTCCTGCCTCAGCCTCCTGGGTAGCTGGGATTACAGGCGCGAGCCACCATGCCTGGCTAATTTTTGTATTTTTAGCAGAGACAGGGTTTCACCATGTTGGTCAGGCTGGTCTTGAACTCCTGACCTTGTGATCCGCCTGCCTTGGCCTCCCAACTTGCTGGGATTACAGGCATGAGCCACCGCACCTGGCCTAATTTTTGTATTTTTAAGAGAGATGGGGTTTCACCATGTTGGCCAGGCTGGTCTCAAACTCCTGACCTCAGGTGATCCACCTGCCTCAGCCTCCCATAGTGATGGAATTACAAGCATGAGCCACTGTGCCCGACTTCCCCTGTTCCCATCACAGCACTGTTACCTTCTTCATAGCAGTTGCCACTCTGAAGCTGTTTATTTACAAGCCTATGCGCTTCCCTCCAGCAGAAGGAAGGTCCTGAGAGCAACCGTGTCTGCCTTGCTACCGCTATATCTCACGCGGTATGCCTTACACATAGTAGGCCCTCTGTGTTTAGTAAATGAATAAAAAGGAGGTCTGTGAGGAAGTGGCTATACCTAGTTCGGGTTGGTGACTTACTGTCTGGCGTGCACGCATCAACTTATTCTTCATTCAATCCATTTATTGAACCACTGCCTTGCAACTGGACGCTAAGGCTATTGCGAGGACTCAGAACTGGATGCTGTCCTGCCCTCGAGGAGATCAGTTTGGTACACTCCGCGACAGCAGTTGTGCTTCTCAAGAAACCCTGAAGGGCCATGTTGCGGTCACTCTCCTCCAGGGATCCAGAGTCAGAGTCACCCTCTTTCCGTAGACCATTTCTGGGGACCAAAGCAATCCCTGCATTCCACTCCCATCGGACCGCAGAGGAACCACCCATCCCACTCGGGTCCAGAGTCGGGGCCTCGCGGGTCCGGGAACGCCGCCCTCCCGGTGAATCTCCCCTTCCGTCTCTAAGGACCCGGGACCGAAGCGCCGCGGCCCGGCCGGGGGCGGGACGTCAGCGGAGCCGGGTGGTGGCCCAGCCGTCTGCTGCGAGGCCGGCGCCTCCGTGCGGCGGCCGAGGGCGGGGCGCGCCGGGGCGGGGCCGCGCCGGGCCGGGGGAGGGGAGCGGGCCGGGACGCAGCCCAGGGCCTGGAGGGCCGCGGCCGCCGGAAGAGTCGCGGCCGCCAGCCCAGCCGGGAGAGTGGGGAGCGGAAGCGGCGGCCGCGGCGGCGGCGGGCGGCGCTGGGACCCGGGAGCGGCCGGAGAACAAGGGAGCTGGCGCCGCGGGCCGCAGCCGAGCTGGGCTGAGCCGCTGGGCCGAGCCGCTGGGCCGCGCCGCCGCCGCCGCCGCCGCCGCCGTGTGGGAGGCTCGGCCCGGCCGCCCGAGCAGGCCGCGCGCGGGCCTCCGGGCCCGAGGCCGGAGCCATGGGCGAGACCAAGATCATCTACCACTTGGACGGGCAGGAGACGCCGTACCTCGTGAAGCTGCCCCTGCCCGCCGAGCGCGTCACCTTGGCGGACTTTAAGGGCGTTCTGCAGCGACCCAGCTATAAGTTCTTCTTCAAGTCTATGGACGACGATTTCGGGTGAGGATGGACCCGCCCCGTCCCCCGGAGCCGGAGGCGGCCCCCCGGGGACGAGGCGGCCCCCCGGGGACGAGGCGGCCGGTCTCGACTTCCCTCGCTCGCCGGCTCCGAGCCCCGCTCTGACTTCAGGGCGACTCGGCCCACTGGGGCCCCGTGGGTTCCAGCCCCTCTAGGGACTCCCGTTCGTCCCTGAAGGGGGACCTGGGCCTCCCTGGTTTAAGGGGACGTCCAACTCCCCGAGAGCAATCAGAGCTCCTGCCGTGCGGTCCCCTCCCCTCCTCAGGGACAGACACACCCCCCCTCCACCTGGTTCCGGAGCCCGAGTCTCCGTCCTCCTCCTGCCGAGGGGCCCGCGCCAGCTTTTCCGCAGACTGGGGTTGCCTGGCCCTCGCTCTTCGCCCCTTCATCTTTTCAGCAGCGCGGCTCCCATATTTGGAGTATGCTGCATCTGCGGGCTCCGCTGGGACTCCGAGCTGGGGGAGGGGTGTCGGGGGTGCTCGGGCGCCGGCCGGGAGCAGGGTCTGCAGAGCCGATGTTTATCTTAGCTGCCTCTCCTCTCCCTTGTGGGCTGCTGGGGGTGTTGTCACCGGAACAGAGCGCCCGACCCCTGAGGACTGGTCCTCACTGACCCAGGTGCTGATCTTTCCTCCAACTCTGGCCTTTTTCCTCCAGATGGTGGCCAAGGGGGAGACGTTGGGAAGGGCCTGGGGCCTGGATGGGAGGGCCAGGAAGAGTTTCTTGGTGTTCTCCATCTTGCCCTCCCTGGTGGGGTCTTCCCTTCCACCCAGCTGCAGAGATCTGGACAGGCGGAGTTGGGAAGCAGTCACTTCCCCTTTAAGAGGGGATGGAATGTTGGAGCCGGAAGGTTCTGAAGCAGCTGGCCTGGGGGGGGCCTGGCTGATCCCCTCGAATCCCCCCAACTCCCAGGAGACTGGGGGAGGGGGAGGCGCCCACACTGGCCTGCAGCCTCACTAGCTGGGCGCTGGGCCTGGAGTCGTTGGGGAAGGCCCCAGCAGGCCTGAAGGCTGCCTCTCCAGCCCTCGCCTGACGCCTGCACTGCTCTTAGGAGCTGAGGCCCCACAGCCAAGAGGAGACATTCTTCTCCCCAGTGCTCATCAGTATGGCTTCTCTCCCAAGCCCCTGACCCACCTAGCCCTGGGAAGCAAGCACCTTCTGTCTAATGCCTGGCGTGTGTTGCTGTCACCTTATGCCTGGGAACTCAGGATTGGATGAGCCCCTGAAATCCTGTGTGTGAGAGTCCTTTGTACAGTGGGCAGTGCTATGTACATTCTAACTATTCTGGTTTCTGTTGTTGTTCCTGCCCTGGGGTGGGGTGCTCCTGGTGGTGTGGTGACAATTGTCTGCTTTCAGCCCAGAGACAGATACCTCTGATTGGAAGATTCCGAGGACGGATGGGTTGAGAAGGGGTCTGGGTAAGGGGGTGGGTGCCTTGGCCTGGCAAGAGAAGAATAGGGTTAGAAGGGATCAAGCTATAGCCTCCACGTAAGGAATGGGGGAAGATCAGCCAGAGTCCAGTGCCCTGGGGCCATCCCAGATCCAGATGCCTTGCAGGGCTAGGATAAGCTCTCTCTCCTCCCTCCACTTATTTCTACATCCACTGGGCCTGGCCCCTGCCTCCTAAGCCTGGACAACTCTGGGCTGCTGTCATTCTCCCAAGGCTGCTGTTGAGGCAGGCCAAACTGCAGTTATAAGAGGGCCCCCATTACACCAGTTACTGTTTACTTAACATTTTTCTTTAAATAAATCCATTGTCAGTCCACTCATTCTTATTCTTTTTTTTTTTTTTTTTGGGATGGAGTTTCGTTCTTGTTGCCCAGATTGGAGTGCAATGGTGCGATCTCGGCTCACCGCAACCTCCGCCTCCCGGGTTCAAATGATTCTCCTGCCTCAGCCTCCCGAGTAGCTGGGACTACAGGCACGCACCACCATGCCCAGCTAATGTTTTGTATTTTTGGTAGAGACGGGGTTTCACCATGTTGACTAGGATGGTCTCAATCTCTTGACCTCGTGATCCGTCTGCCTCAGCCTTCCAAAGTGCTGGGATTACAGGCGTGAACCACCACACCTGGCCCACTCATTCTTTTTCTTAGCTTAAACCAAGCAATAATGTGAAACCATAGGTCTGATTTTCTATTTATATTTCTTTTTAAAATATGTTTAACATAAATATTTAACGATTGAACTAAGCAATGTTAATTTATGTGCCCCCTGAAACCATCTTGCAAACATCAGTGGTATTTGAACCAAGATATCAGAGTTGGACCATTTTAGCAGGGTTGAAAACAGTGCTAAAAATGAAGTGGGGCTTGGGCTCGGTGGTTCATGCCTGTAATCCCAGCACTTTGGGAGGCTGAGGCAGGTGGATCACGAGGTCAGGAGTTCAAGACCAGCCAGGCCAACATGGTGAAACCCCATCTCTACTAAAAATAAAAAATTAGTCGGGGGTGGTGGCACATGCCTGTAATCCCAGCTACTCAGGAGGCTGAGGCAGGAGAATCGCTTGAACCTGGGAGGCAGAAGTTGCAGTGAGCCAAGATTGCTCCACTGCACCCCAGCCTGGGCAACACAGTGAGACTCCTTCTCAAAAAAATAATAATAAAGTGGAGGAGATGGATTTTGTTTTAATCCTCAGAAGGATAAATGAGCAGGAGACCTGATACGGCTGTCTTGTGACAGAGGACTAATAGCATATGTATATATATGTGTGTGTGTGTTTCATTTATTTAACACACTCCTTTTATGCTTAGTGTGCCAGGGACTAATCTAAATGTTTTTCAAATCTTCACTCACTCAATCTTCAAAACAGCCCTGTGAAATGGATAGTATACTGGTATCTCTGGTTTACAAATGAAACTATGCCGGGCATGGTGGCTCACACCTGTCATGTCAGTACTTTGGGAGGCTGAGGTGGGAGGATCACCTGAGGCCAGGAGTTCGAGACCAGTCTTGGCAACATAGCCAGACCCCATCTCTACAAAAATTTTTTTAAATTAGCCAGGCGTGATGGAGTGTGCCTGTAGTCCCAACTTGGGAAGCTGAAACAGGAGGATCACTTGAGCACAGGAGTTTGGGGCTGCAGTGAGCTGTGACGGTGCCACTGTACTCCAGTCTGGGCAACAGAGTGAGATCCTGTTTCAACAAAAAAAAGGAAACTAGAGCACAGAAAGCTTAAGTAACTTGCCCAACCAAAGTCATACAGCTAATAAGAGGCAGAGCTTGCTTTGACATCAGGATTCTGGATCCAAATCAAAATCTTTAATCATACAATTTTAAGTGTCATTATTGTCACCATTTTACTGATGAATCCTCTCTGAGGGAGGTGGTAAGCCTTGGCAAACTGTAGAGGTGATAAGGCCACCATTTCTCCAAGCCCCACAAGACAAGGGTCAGGTGGGGGCCATTGACCCTAATTGACAGAGGGAAAGTTGTCAGTGGAGGAAGGCTGCTGTCTCTCCAGTTTCTCTACTCCTGCCTCAGCCTTTGAGGTTCTGTTGTGAGGCCTGAGGACTCCTCAAGTCCCATCTGGTCTCCAAAAGTATTTGTCAAGCTCAGGGTAAGCTCAGCCATCTTTTAAAATTTTTATTTATTTCATTTTTTTGAGGAGTTTTGCTCTTGTCACCCAGGCTGGAGTGCAGTGGTGCGATCTCGGCTCACAGCAACCTCCACCTCCTGGGTTCAAGCAATTCTCCTGCCTCAGCCTCCAAGTAGCTGGGATTACAGGCACCCACCGCCATGCCTAGCTAATTTTTGTATTTTTAGTAAAGACCGGGTTTCACCATGTTCGTCAGGCTGGTCTCAAACTCCTGACCTCAGGTGATCCACCCGCCTCAGCCTCCCAAAGTGCTGGGATTACTGGCATGAGCCACTGCAGCCGACCTGCCATTTTAAGTTATTTGAAAAATGGAGGAAGGATAAACATCTTTAGCATTGAGGGCATGGTGAATGGTACGTGGAAGTAAGGTACCTACTGCTAGTCTGATGTTGAGCTGTGAGAGGGGGCAACATGGCGATCAGGTCATTTACTGTGGCTCGCTGCTCCATGTCATACACTGTCCTCCCTAAGGGCCTTCCTTTTTTTTTTTTTTTTTTTGAGATGGGGCCTGGCTTTGTCACCCAGGCTGGGGTACAATGGTACGATCTTGGCTTACTGCAACCTCCGCCTCCTGGGTTGAAGCAATTCTCCTGCCTCAGCCTCTTGAATAGCTGGAACTACTGGTGTGTGCCACCACACCTGGCTAATTTTTGTATTTTTAGTAGAGATGGGGTTTTGCTATGTTAGCCAGGCTGGTCACAAACTCTTGACCTTAAGTGATCTGCCCGCCTTGGCCTCCCAAAGTGCTGAGATTACAGGCATGAGCACCGCACCCGGCTTATCTTATCTTTATATTCCGACACCTGTGTAACACTCAGCAGATGTCTATCCAGTGAACATGTGCTGCTCCTGAGGTTCCAACCACTTCCTGGATTGCAATATATTTCCATGAACTATCCACTGGACCACAGTCTCTCTGAGAACAAGGCAGACTCTGGGTCTGATGTTTCATGAGATCTCTACAGTAGCAAGCTCAGGACCTAAAACCCACTGGGTTCTCAGCCAAAGCATTTTAATTGGATGAACAATGAATGATGAATAGATGTATTTGCTCTGCCCTTAAAAACGTATATGTAGTTAGAAGTAGCGTGTGGACCCCACTAAAAAGTGACAATATAACACGCTTATAATGCCTGGATCATGCTTGGCATTTGAGGATCCAGTTACTAGGATGAGACAGAGGCTTGGAGAAATTGGTAGGCTAGTAACTGGGAGAATTGGAATTTGAGCCCATATTTGTTTGACTCCGTTTGGGGCGTGAGTGTGTATGTGTGTGTGAGTGCTGTGTAACCCCCAGCCATTCAGCTCCATGGTGGGAGAGTAAGGCCTGACTGAGGTCCCCCACAGCTGCCAAAGATCAGCTGATTCTTGTGAGTCAGCAGAGCCTTGGTGACCTGTTGATGACCCCCAGAAAGAGAGGAAACGTGTAGTGTGGAGCAGTGTGGTGGGGTCTGCCAGGGGAGGTGTGGTAGGGACTTGGCAGCATTTTCCCGCCCATAGGCAGACCCCTCTCCAAAGCAGGCTGTGCCATGTGGCCCATGTCTTCCCTTTTCCTCTGAGTCCTGTGGGGCTGCCAGCTTGTGGTACCCTGTGGCCAGACTGACTGGTGGGTATGAGCTACCTTTCTGTCCCTTCTTTTTAGCCTGTCCTTCCTTTTCTTTTGAGATGGAGTTTCACTCATGTTGCCCAGGCTGGAGTGCAATGGCACGATCTCAGCTTACTGTAACCTCTGCCTCCCGGGTTCAAGCGATTCTCTTGCCTCAGCCTCTCCAGTAGCTGAGATTACAGGCGTGCACCACCATGCGTGGCTAATTTTGTATTTTTAGTAGAGATAGGGTTTCTCCATGTTGGTCAGACTGGTCTCGAACTCCTGACCTCAGGTGATCCCCCCCACCCCTGCCTTGGCCTCCCAAAGTACTGGGATTACAGACGTCAGCCACGGCGCCCAGCCTCTAGCCTATCCTTTCTACACTTTCTGCCGTGGTGGGCCTGAGTAGGATGATTTGGGCTGCTTTCCAAGGGTGGTGTTGGGAATGATGGAGGAACCAGAGATGGATGGGAGTGGGAAGGGCAGGCTCAGTCTGCGAACTTGGCTGTGAGTCCAAAAATGTGAGCATCACAAGGAGCCAAGCACGTTTCCGGCTCTGGGCAGAAGCTGCTGTAAGAACAAAGGGGGCTGAGCACAGTGGCTCAGCCTGTAATCCCAGCACTTTGGGAGGCCGAAGTGGGTGGATCACCCTGAGGTCAGGAGTTTGAGACCTGCCTGGCCAACATGGTGAAGCCCCGTCTCTACTAAAAATACAAAAATTACCCAGCCATGGTGGCAGGCACCTGTAATCCCAGCTACTCGGGAGGCTTAGGCAGGAGAATTACTTGAACCCGAGAGGTGAAGGTTGCAGTGAGCTGAGATTGCAGCGCTGCGCTCTAGCCTGGGTGATAGAGCGAGACTTCATCTCCACAAAA